GGTAAAGAAACAGAGTGAGGTGAAGGAATCAGAAAAGAAATACAGGAGAGAGAGAGAGAGAGAGAGAGAGAGAGAGAGAGAGAGAGAAAGAGAGAGAGAAAGACAGACAGACAGAGAAAGAGAGAGAGAGAGAGAAGGAAGGATCTGTTGGCGATCAAAATAGAATGGTAGAACAGTAAAAGATTCATTGCCAATAAGAAAGAATCAACAGAGCAAATAATAAATTTAAGGTAAAAGTGAGTTAAGTCAATGAGTTAATAAAGAGATTAAGAGACAACAATATATACACAAACATGAGCGCGTAAAAGCACCCACATGTATATTAAGTGCGTCAGATAATCGAGAACACATTATAATATAAAGGCAAATAAAGTAATATTAGCATATTTAAAAAAAAAAAAATCAATAATTTAAAACAGATATGTGTTGTTCTATAACAATTACCCTAATCTCGAGGTCAGACGCAATGCAGCCTTTAAAGAGAAACTGAACCTACCTTACCAAGCGGTCCTCGTTCATATTGTGTTATAGAATCGCTGGTTTTCAACTCCCTACGGGATTCAAATCAGGATAGTTAAGAGGGTGTTGGTATGACTGCAAAAGTTCTCGACTAACCACTCTTAGGTCAAATAAGTATTTGGGAGAGAGAAGTTTTCTCCTGAAGCACATATGGTTACTCCATCGTTCCAAGGCTTAAACACGGTGCCCAGCACGATATACGTGGTAGCGTCGACTCTGAGACCCTAAGGAATGAAGCTGGTCGCCATGACATGAAAGTCTGTGATCATGACCCCACCCGAAAAAATATAGACTACCGTCGATGTGAACTTGTTGCGTCTTACAAGTGAGGGCGGTGGTGAGCCTCCAGATTTTCCTTCTGTTCAACACCTTTGGTCATCTTTGGTGATAAACATGCGGAAAAAGAAGTGGCTGCTTAAGACAGCTGACGTTATCTACATGGAAACTGACCCACTGTGTAAGGGACAGACCTCAAAAAACTGATAAGTTTATATAAAGAGGAAGTAGTGCTAAAGGTGTCAATATTGTGCGACAAAAATTGCCGTTTGTCCAATGAAAACAAATATTTCTTAATAAAAAATATCGCGTAGATTTTGTTTGTTTTATTGAATACTCATTTCTCTAACGTATAAAGTTTATCATTTTTCCATGCAGTTTATGCAGACGTATAGTTTTAAGTCGAATGCTAAGTATATGAAGCTCCTGAAGCAAATTAGGTTACAACCAAGTTCTTGGTTTGTCATCGTTTGTCAGAACTTAAGGCATTATAAAACGTTAAAAATAACAGGCAAAAAAGTAGAAAATAAAAGAAACGGTATCGAAAAATGAAACAAAAAATAGATATTTATTTTTGTTCATCACTTCACAGGGTTACAAGCAATAATGAGGTGTTTTGACAAATTATGAAAGACATTTTTTTTTTCGTCAGTCACTCAGAATATGATTTAAACCCGAAAAAGTTTAACTGATGTTGACTGGAGCGAACTTCATATGAGCCATAAATTGTGGAGTCATTTCAACGTCAGCAGTCTTGTTAAAAGTGTCGCCGATGAAGATGACTGAAATAGCCTTTAGATCAAGTTTGGCTGCCATCACAGTTCCATGTTTCTCAATAGCTTCTCCTGTTGCTCCTGGTACAGATTTCAGCAAAGTTCTAGATTATTCCCCCTTCTGAGTGAGGTAACAACTGGCACATTCTGTTATTCGAAGTATATGATACAATCTAGCAAGTCATTTCACAATGTAATTAAAGAAGGGTGTAACCGACCAAAAATATTTTAACAACATTTTCTAATAAAATATCATATTCAATATAACTTTCATTCATTAATATGTAAGTGCTGAAAATTGAATTTAAATCGGATAATTCCTTGGCATTTTGGTAATTGCTTTTTAAATCAGAGGGTATCGTTTTTTTTTTTTTGCGTTCGTATTTGAAAATGTAACCAGCAAAGAATTATTTGACGATCTTCAACATTTATGTGCTCTATTGCCACTCCGACAACAAAACACGTATTTATTTCTGGATATGAATTTTAGTGTTTCGGACATTTATACTGACAAAAATTCTAAAAAAAATGTATTTAAAATGTAGTGTTTGCCTGTAGTTTTTGGGCTCTAGTCATGACCAGCTCTCCTTTGCGATATTCGCGTGATTCATTTCTAATTGAAAAACTGTTTAAACATTTTAACATTATTGTCTATAACTGGTCACCTAGTCAATCATTGTACATATTTCTCTGTGGACGGTGGAGGCCATTTTTATTTAAATCTACAGTTACTATAAATATACTCTCCTGAAGGTCCTTTTATATTAAATGCGTGAAAATTTAATTTGTTTTAAATTTTTCCTGAAGACAACTAAATGAAAATTAATAGAGTCTTGAGATGTAGGACGAAGCCATCGATCGATAAAATATAACTGGAAAATCCTCAAAGATAAATTAACAAAAAACAAACAAACAAAAAAAAAAAACAATATAAAATAATGTCACTGTTGGAGAAAATCTCAGTGAAACTAAACGAGAGTAAAATACTTTTAGAGACAGAAAAAAAAATCATTAAAAACAAAGGAAAGAGTACTGAATTGTTACATGAGGTCTGCCCTCCTATAAGAAACGTGCTGAGGATACCATGGACCAAACAAGTGAGCAACGACGAGGTTTTGGAGAAAATGGAAACATACTTAATATCTGGAAGAGGCAGTTGAAATTTCTGAGGTAGGAGGTCTTGTTAAACCAGATAGTCACAGGACAGATTGATGGAAAGGAAGACAAAGAAAAGCAGCGCGAAACATACTTTTTATGAGCTTTAGTAAAATGGATGGTAGAAAAGGGTTTGGGAGAAATAACAAAAAGACAAAACTTATTAAGAGTTACAAGGGACAGGAAAATGTGGAGGGCCATGATCGCCTATTTCCTGAAGGGATTGGTTCTCTTTATTATCTGTAAATTAGAATGACCTATTGGTGTAAATTCCCCGTTGCTTCCCCTAAAGGTTTGAATTCAGAGTTGTCCTTTTTCCGATCCAGGCTGACGACTATGCCTAGAGAGCCGGACATACCCTGCTAAAAAAGGAAGGTAAGAAATGGATTCATGCCTGCCCCAAGGACACTTAAATCGATGTGAACGCAACAGACTAGGTCAGAGCTTAAATTCGGATCACCGTTTACAATTTACGACTAATAATAAATACAGACGGCAGCTTTGAAAATTCACCGTGTAGAAAATACTTGATAGCAGAGGCAGAGATAAGACATAATAAAATTGTAAATCAGTCTATCATAAATGAGAATAAGTGCATAAAATAGATATGACTTGGTTAGAACGGCGATGTTCTGAGAATTACGCAAGCGACTTGGTTTATTTCAAAGATATAAGCAGGAATCAAAAATTTTTTCGGGGGTGAATAAGTAAATTTTTCTAAGTGTTTGAAATTCAATTGAAACAACCAACTGATGTTAGAAGACCAGACTGAAAAAAATAACAAAAAACAAACAAAAAAACAAACAAACAAACAAACAAACAAACAAACACATGTACACATTGAATTTGATGCAATAAACAAAAGACAACGTTGAAAATAAAATAAATCTGTAATGCAAAACATGTACAAAAGGACAAATAAATATATATTTTCTCAAAGAAACATGCATTTAAAAAAAAAAAAATTCAGGGAATAACTAAGCTCATTGTTCAAGGTTAATAATGGGTGTAACAGCTTCCCATTATGATGACCACCAAGACGCTGAAGTAATAATTTACCCAATTGAGCACGTTCACAACCCTTTCTTAAACCACTGTGACATGCCAGTGATGAGAAATATAATAACAATACAACCATTGCACAGTCACACATTTTGTAATGCTATTAGTACACTGCGAATACAAACAATATAAAGTGAAATTCGAACTCACTTTGCCAATTTATTTGCGCTGATAATTGTTACGGCACCCAACGCATTAAAATTTCCGCTTAATAAATATGGAAAAATAAATACAGCGAAAAGAAACAAAAATAAAATTAAAAACTTTTAAACAATAACAATAATTGCAAGAACAAAAAAAAAAAAAAGGTCTTATGACGTAACATTGATACAATCAATAGTTCTTAATTGATAGTTAACAAATTAAGTATTTTGTAGTTAGTATTCTTAATTATATCTTGCATGGTTGGTTGTCATATCGAGTTTGTTTTTAGAAATTATTCTATCTTTGGATATTTTAGGATCTTGCTGTGGAAACAACGATTCCTCTGAAATATCCACTTCATATATATATATATATATATATATATATATATATATATATATATATATATATATATATATAATGTGCATAAAGTCTTTGAATTAAGAGATTTATCTTCTAGAAGAAATGCTTATATCGGCTTTTATTTTCAATCCAAGTTTCGTCGAGTGCATGCGTGCACAAAGTGTGCTTACGTGCACGTTTTATTTGAGATATCGAATGCATAAAAATCCAAGTGCAGAAAAAATTCGTCATGTCGACTTAGGAAAAAGAAAACCTCTCTATGTACCGTGATAATTCAGGATATATGCAATCATGACTCTCCACAATTTCTTCACTTTTACTGTTCTCAGCAATACTTCGAAATATGACCCATTTTTATTATTGTTCTACCCGTTCCTCCGTCTATTCATACAAATTTGTTAAATGTGTTACTCGCTTCTTTTGTCTTTGATTGGTTCATTGTTTTGATTGATTGATTTGTTTTTTTAAGGTTTATCAACCTTTTCAAGGTTATTTAAAGCCGACACATATTTTCGGATTGTAAGAATATTTTGAAGATAATAATTTTTTTCTGGTACAACTCTTACTATTTATCCCATAGCTGTGAGAAGAAGTGGTTTCATATCTTAAGAAAGTAATCGAATATAACTAAGCTTACTGGATTTTGAACTCGGCTCTCCGAATTCTCATCCCGATCCTATATCCATGACACCACCCGCACATCCAAATTTACAGCAACTGGTATTCCCAAGCGGTCACCTATCTAGGTACTCACCAGGTCCAACGTTGCTTAACTTCAGTGATCGGGTGCGAACCGGTATTTCAACGTGATATGGCCCGTAAGTCGGTTGTCTGTCGCTTTCTGAACACTTTTGTTAATCAACTACAAGGAGTTTCTGTTTGTAGTTATGTTAGGGTGAATTACAAACAGTTTTATTTATTTAGGAGTGTGAAAGTATTCCATATTATTAATGGAGTGATATATACATATATATCTATATATATATATATATATATATATATATATATATATATATATATATATATGTGTGTGTGTGTGTGTATATATATATATATATATATATATATATATGATTTACGAAAAGAGGTAAAGGTTTGTTTTTTAATTTCCCTAATGAATCATTATTATCACAAATTATCTACCATCACCTGTAGAAGTAACATCTTGGTAATGAAATCTGAAAGCTTTTGTGTATGTAAAATATTTTTATTGTAATTTATTATGAAAAAAATATATATATATATATATATATATATATATATATATATATATATATATATATATATATATAGTGAGAATAATGAGATATTTTGAGACACGGCTTTTAAAATGATTTAATTCTAAAATAATAAGCAAAGATATAGTTTTAGTCAGGGATTCACAACCAGGGGACCCCCTCCATCGAGGAATATCAGGATCAGGATTTTACTTTTACTTGTTTTTATTAACAGAATTTGGAGTCCATCATAAGTGTAAAAAACTCTTCTAAAAATAATCCATGTAATGTACTACTGTGGAAAAAATGATTATTTTCAATAGTATATGCATATTATTTAGACTTTTGAGTGAGACAATCTTAGAAATGGTTGGAATGACATTCTGACATACGGTGAAGACTGTGTATTGGGCACAAACTTTTATGAACCACTGGTTTAAGTTGTTAGCTCTGTAACTAACTTTTAATTTTCCCTCAATATTTATTCAGTCGTCTTAGCTGGGACATTCCTGGGTCTATCATGCCAACCATCATGGTCCTGCATCAAAGTCCGAAGATCATTAGGGTGGCATTCTGTGCTATAACAGTGCTGGACAATGTAAGTGGTTGGTGGGTGACTATCACACCTTGATCTATAGGTAGGTGTCTAGAGCAGTAGATCACTCGCGAATTCTTGTTTTGAACGCCAGCAGTGGAGCAAAGCAAAATGCATTGTGTTCACCATAAGACTGTAGAAAATCAGGGATGGGTCCATAGAGATGTGATTTAGTTGAATGTTAAGAGATGTTAAGTATAGCTTTCAGAATCCAAGAGTAGATTCCATCAAGCTTAGGGTGTAGGGATTTAGTTAATGGCACCATGCATTAAACCCGCCTTCACAGTGGCGTGAATGGATCTCCGTTTAAAGTTTTATGGTAGGTCATATTTCCATATTATATCTATATTATTGAAGGCAGTCCAGGCTTTGGATATGCAAATTTTCACTTCCATTTCAGTAGAATTTATTTCACTTCCTAAGAAGGTAAAAGAATCGACAGATTTTACTGATTCACTTGAGACAATTTGCATTGAGTCTTGCTGGTTGAAGCCTGTGAATTCAGTTTTAGTGGCATTGACATAGAGTCCAACATAGTTAACAGCATTTTGTAGATGGTGTAGGAGAACTGTGACATTGTTAATAGAAACTTCTGTGATAGCTAGGTCCTCTGCATAGTCAATATCTGTCAACTTTTTTGCAGGATATCGACTTGAGAATCTTGCTGATCTGGAAAATCGTCTCTGTTTTCTCTCAGTATAGCTTCCTTATTACGTCCACATGTCCACATACGATAAACAAGAAAATACTTTAATATTGATACCTCAACAGCTGTTTATATTTCTGAAATAAGGTATTGCAACTAATTACATTATTTCCATAATTGAAACTGAGATATCCAGAAAAGGCATGGAATGTGGAACTAGAACAATGTACCCAAGTGAACGAAATAAAGTGTTCGGTTCGAAATACCAACGTATATCACCTGAAGATTACTGGAGTGTAAAACGGTTGAAACGTCGTGCATATGACAATAAAGATGTGGACAACTGTCTGAACCATGTAAATAGTTTGAATATTGAGATCTTAATTCGAGTTTTAAAATAAAACCATCTTTTTATTTTATTTATCCTATAAAAAATCAGAAAGGCACTCAAGACAATATCTATCAATAAAATTAATACCTAATTAATATAGTTATAATATTTTAAATGAGGTGTTTGAAACCCCCACGTTATTAATGCTATGACAATTCTCCACAGTATCAATGGAACGGAAAAATTACAAAAGAACAAAAAATATGAGTGTAGAAGTAATACAGAACAGATATTCAATGATGTTATTCGCTTGGCATAAGGTTATATATATATATATATATATATATATATATATATATATATATATATATATATATATATATAGTGCAAATCAAAAATTGATGATACGAGCTTCCATCACTTAAAATAGGTGCAGTGTAATATTTAATGTGCCTTATCTGATGTAACACCGCTACAGACAACAACTGGTTAATCTCCAGCACACAGGCATGGCTTTCGTGATAAGTCCACACGGCATCAGAGGATAGAAAGATACCGTCAATTTACGAAGGGGCATCAATAATTGCACAACGTGACATGTAGCTATTAGCTGAATTTTTATCTGAAATGTTTATCCTATAATGTCCGATATGTGAATCCGATTCGCCACTGAAGTACCTTCCCAAAGATGGAGATTTTGCTTAAAAGTATTCGTTGTGTGAAAATGTTTTTTCCGAATGGGGATACGGACTTACTGATTTATATCTGTACACAAATCTATACTGTGATGCTTATAACAAAGCAGTGTGGTCGATAGACTGTTGATAGTGAATGGGATATTCACCGAATGCTCTATAATAATGTCCATGTGCCAGAAAATAGAGATATAAAACTATATACTTCATGTAATTGAATAATTGAAAACTTAAATGCGTTCGCAAAGATGAATCAATAATTCTGTAGCCTGACAATTATTAATTGAATTTTATTTGTTACAGTATAATACCCTATTCAAGTGACTGATATGCATATATAAGCAAGAATGAGAAGATGGGGGTGTATGTGAGAAAGATCTATATGCTTGCATCTGGAGAATCAACTGACGGTGATGAGAAAAAACTGAATAAGACACTGAGGGTAATATAGAGAGGAATATATGTGATAAAAAATTATACGAGGAAAAACTACAAGAAACATGTGTATAAGAAAGAGAAATAGAATTTGAAAGAAAGATAGGGCCCTTGAAATGAAATGGTTGCATAGGTGTAGGAGATATATAGAGAGAAATAGAGCTAGCGAGAGAGAGAGAGAGAAAGAGAGAAAGAGAGAGAGAGAGAGAGAGAGAGACACGGTGAATGTATATTTAAGTATGTGTCGTTCCATTTTTAACAAGGGACTTGGACTCTCAGTGACACAGGTTAATCGCTGGACGATTATATTTGTTGTTTGTTATTTCATTTGCTCTCCTTCTAAGGCCTAATCTCAAATATTCTTTTTGCAACATAATTCTCCATTTCCTCTGGACGTGTAAAGAAACCCGTACACCGAATTTACTGCTTTAAGAAGGGTTTGAACTCGCGGATCCTTCTAAATCATATAAACGTATAATGCACTTATCTTTAGGGTCACATACACCGGGGATATTTCGGGAGATAATTTTAAAGTTATTTTAGTAAATAAAAATGCCTTCGATTTACATAACTCGCCTTTTTACGAATAAAGAACTTCTATGCGACAACACACACACACACACACACACACACACACACACACACACACACACACACACACACACATATATATATATATATATATATATATATATACAGTAGCGAGCATAATTACCAGAACGATGTTAAGAAAAAGTCTAAATGTGAAATAACTTTTTATTTTAAAGCTTCATAGAACATTTTATCAAGGAAAAATAAGGATATAAAGGTGAATTATATAATTCCAAAATATAAAGATCAAGAAACTTATTTTGATAAAGTTATAAGAATAATTATATAACATTCGAAGAAAATAGATGATCAGAAACATCAGAACAATTAAATAAATCCATAAAATTTAATAATTATTTTGCATTATTGAAAATTTTTTAGGGTAAAATATAAAATCGGGTATTTTACTACATTACACCGACTCTTTACTGACTCTTGCATTGTAAACATGGTGAAAAAATCTGTGACGTCATTGGAACTTAGAAAACTGATAGTCAAGTAATGCAATGAAGATAAACCCTCGATTGGGGATATTTTAAAGACTGTGGGGAAATCTAATTTTTATCCATAGAATTTTAAGAAAACCTGAGGAAACTGGGTCATGTGAAGCCAAGAAACCACCTGGCAGGGCTAGGAAAACTACTGCAAGGGAAGACAAATGGACTGGTAATGAACCAAAAAAGGATCGATTTGAGACAGCAACCGTTATCTCTAAAAGAGCTAATGTTAACCTTGACATTAAAATATCAAGGCACACTATTTAATGAAATAAAATTTGAACAGTCGAGTAGCCTCTACGAAGCCTTACATTTCTAAAAAGAATCAAATGAGCCGATTGAAATTTGCCACTGAACACGTCATATGGACAGAAAAACCGTGGGATTGTGTTAATTTCAGCGATGAGTCAAAGTTTAACATGTTCGGTTGTGAAGGGAGAAGGTTCGTTCGACGCAGTCCTAAGGAACGATATTCGCGTCAGGCCACTAAAAACAGCGTTAAACTTGGAGGAGGAAGCGTGATGGTGTTTGGAATGATTTCACTTGCTGGTACGGGACCTCTTGTCAGACTACTCGGTAAAATTTACGCAACTGTATACAAAGAGATATTGAAGAAACATGTACCTAATTTGAGAACTGCAATTAATCAACCAGATGTATTTATGCAAGATTACGCACCGTGTCACACAGCGAAGTCTGTTAAGACATTTCTTTCTGAGGAGGATGTTACTGTTATTGAGTGGCCTGCTCAAAGCCCAGACATGAGAATATTTGGAAGTTATAAAATGAAAGAGCTAAGGAAAAGAATTC